GCGGCGGCAGGTAGTTCTTCCTGCCCCGGATCACAAAGGAGCCGGTGACCAGGTACTCGCCGCTGGGGGCGGTCTTGCTGACCTGCGGTGGGAGGAGGCGGGCGGGGGCGGCAGGGTGGCGCCATGGCGGTGTGGCAGGCTAACCAGGGGCCGTGGCTTCTGCCAGGCGCTGCTGTGCCAGGTGCTGCTGCTGCCCCACCCATGCCAGGGCTCACCCCCGTTACGCCCCCACCACACACACACGCACACGCCACACGCCACACGCCCATCCCGCATCACCACAACACGCATCCCGCACCCTCCCCCCGCCACCACCACAACACCCCCCCCCGGCCTCACCTGCTCCGGGTGCACCCACCACGCGCTGGTCACAATCTTGGCGTCCCAGGCCTGGCTGCGGCACACGCACGCCTGGCCCGCCTGCGACAGCGTGAGGGGCGGGATGGGCGCCCCCGGGTCGCTGTTGCGCACGATGGTGGAGGAGGCGCCGTGCAGGTCGGCATGCACGTACGCATCGCCACGCCTGCGGGGGGCAGAGAGGCCAGGGAGGCCGGCGGAAAAGGCAGGCACAATAGTGGGGAGGCGGGGGCGGCCGGGCAGGGCGGAGGCGCGTCGCGGCGGCAGGCGGGCAGGCGCAGGCGGGGTGTGACCGTAGGGGTGCGGCGCGCGGCGGGCAGCGCACCGCAGGTAGCGCTTCACCAGCAGCTCGTTCTGCGGGGCAGGCAGGCGGGCGGGAGCGCAGCATGTCGATAAAGCGGCTCAGCCCAATTTTTGAAGGGCTGTGTGATGAAAGATCGATCTTTTGTCAATAAAACTCATCAATGAAACTCGTTACAGAAACAAAACAGTCGTGCTTATCAGTCCGGCCCCCACCTGCTGCGCGTCCCTCCCGCTCAGCACCAGGTAGTTCTCGGAGGAGATGAACCAAAAGAACTTCTCAAACCAAAAGGGCTTGCGGGTGATGGCGGGGGCAGCAGCCGCGCTGCGCACCTGCAAGGCACACGGGCGGGTGCGGGGGGGGGGGGGGGGGGGGGGAGGGGGGGAACCC